ATCGCTAGTATGTTATATTAGTTAAATAAGTGTTCACTTCAAAGTTAGATTGGTAAAGTTTCCATTAAGCGTCCGGTATATAATGGCTGTCACTTATAATATGCGGTCGCAGGCGGTTATGCAAATTAAAATGTATTAACTTCATTACGAGGGTAGGTCCGGTATGTTCATTAACTGCGTCAACAACGCCCGTAGAGCTTCACACGTAATGAAGTTCTTGATTAAAAACGAAATGGGCGAAAATTCAGCCACGAATAGGTAACGGTCTACTTACCTTTTGGAGGCAAAGAGGCTTTATATCACTTGGTCGTTCCAGTTATGAAACTCACGCCCGGTTTCTGAAACACTGTTCATCGCAGAAATTAACAAATCAGCTGTCGAATGTTATTTGAGTTGCCAAAAGGATGGTTAAACTCTTTGAATTGATAATTTTCTGATCAATTCAAAGGGTTCAATTTAACCTCAAATCATTTTCTGATCAATTCAAAGAGTTCAATTTAACCATCCTTTTGGCAACTCAAATCATTTTCTGATAAATTCAAAGAGTTTAACCATCCTATTGGTAACTCAAATGACAATTGACAAGCCATTTGACAGCTGATTAGTTAATTTCGTCGATCAGTGTTTTAAAAACCGGGCGTCAGGGTGCCCGGTGTAGCTATTTCGTGTATTTTTAAGAGCTCACTCCTTGTTGTAAATCGCTGTATTCGCAGCACCGTCTTTAAGTATCGCTCAATAAATAATCTATCGGATTTGTTCTGTGCAAAAATTACTACGTAGAGGTCATAATAAAAATAAAGGACAATAATCTAAGCTAACATCCTCCGTCTGTGCTATCAGAAACAAAACATACGTTAGGGATTTTTTTATTAGTCACTGAATGAATGTAAATTTTTGATTACAATTTAAGTTGGTTCATTTATCAATAAACCATTAACTATTAAGTCTACTAAAGATCGCAAATATCTATGCAGTTCAATACCGGGCTCCCTATAGGACATATCAGTTTTATGCCCATTTTCACCGACGTATACTATATATGGGAACTTAAAATATCCCCAAAACTATGCCCAGTTAAATTTCGTTTCACCGTCATTTCTATCATCTAGTTACGGGACTCTTAACAAGAATATGTATGAACAAGATAATTTTATGGATTTCGCTAAAGTACATGGATAAGTTATTAGTAAATCATGCTTTGTCATGTTAATACTAATAAAAGCCTAACTTTAGCCGAACGTAACGTTTAACTAACCATACTTGGAGTATTTCGTAAACTAGGGGGATGATTGATTTGAAAACGGGCATTAATCCTAAAATGATTGATTTTAATAAAGTGGGCCCCGGCTACCTCACTCACCAGACGAAACGCGGAAGTGTAACACTTGCACTTCTTGCGTTTTTTCTGTAAAGTCGTGGTACTTACCGGACAGACCAGCCATTCATGTAACAGCGAAGACTGCTGCGTCGCCCTACCACAATTAAACACCTACTCCTTGCAATCTTATGAATGAATGAATGAATGAATATCTTTATTGCCAGAATATGGTAGACATTGTGATCTTAATAATAATAATTCTGTGCAACATATTCAGTTGACTTCAGCATGCAATTGTCAATTTAGTGCGTATTTTTAAAATTAAAAAATAAAGTAAAGTAACAGCCTATACATGTCCCACTGCTGGCCAAAGGCCTCCTCTATACAGAGGGTATCAGGGTATGTCCACCAGGCGGCCCCACTGCGGATTGGCGGACTACACATATCTTCGAATTTCGAAGTTGGAAATGTATCTTTTTTTTGTTATTATTAAAAACTTCATTGGTGCCGGCACCGGTAATCGAAGGTTGCTCGAGTATACTGAATTAAAAGCGAGCGCCTGGACACTGAGCTATCACGGCTCCTCATTTTTATATTTACTTAGTGTATTTTATTTTATTTGTATTTTTTAATTACCTAGTACGTATTTTTAACAAAGAAAATATATGTACATATATAAACAGATGTTTCCAAGCTAAAGTGCCTCAAACATTACCTGCAAGCATCAAACATAACATGTTTACGTGTAACCATTACGCGATGAGAGGACTACAGTCGGCAATAACATTTAATGCGACGTCAAAATTATAGCAATGAAACGTGGGGCGGTTCAAATTGATGTCATATCTTGATAATAACATGTTTTATTTCGCCTCGACAGGATTCCGTCTATTTAAGAACGAAAAACCAGCCAAGTGCGAGTCGGACTCGCGCAAGATGGGTTCCGTATCTATAAAAACGGCAAAAAAAATTATGTCTGTTTTCATTCAGTTTTTTAGTATTTTTTATTACAGCGGTAACAGAAATACATCACTGTGAAAATGTATCTGTCTAACTATCATGCTTCATGAGAGCGGCAGCAGCCAACAACAGCCGGCAACAGCCTGGTGACAGACGGACAGACAGACAGCAGTCTTAATAATAGGGTCCCGTTTTTCACTTTAAGTAAATCCTAAAATTTGAGAAATGTACTTTGCTAGTGATTTGATATCATACAGCAGATTTTGAAAAAAATGTTGAAGTGTTTAATTAATAGAATTTACTACTAAATTTTGATGCAAATTAACTTTCATATTTCAGTTATCTTACTGGAAGTTTTAAAACGTACGTGTTTTTCTTTAATGTTTTCTTTTCAAATAAGTAGCTTCATCGGCAAATCATTGTAACCAACATTCTGCATTGTTAAAAACATGTTATTCCATTAAAACTTGGGAAGAACTGCTTTCGAAACATAGATGTTTACTATTAGCTGCCCACCGTTTTCCGATAACTGTTTTGGGTTTGTAATAAGTAAATAATATTCTATTTGAAAGTGAGAAACAATGCTGTACTGGAAAATTTGTCAAACATCTTCAGAATTGTTAAGTTGACAACGCAAATAAGAAGGACATAAAACGATATTACTACAAAATTAAGCATAGATTAAGAAAGACTCTTATTATTCGTGGTCTCACTTCATTTTACTGCAATAGAACAGAAATGAGGTAGCACTTACCAATCGCTTCTCTAAAAATACGTAAAATAGGCATAATCTCGAGTTACTCACATATACAGGAAATTGAAGAAAGTAAACTATTAACAATTTAGTTTAATTAACAAGACTAGAAGAATCCTTACACATTACATACACGATTTTTAAAACGACGATTCGGCATTCTTCGAAAGTAATTTTTAACTATTTACGAACACAGATAATCATTGTGTATGTTGGACAAAGAATTTTTAATGGCCACATATTGTTTATGGTTATACAAACAGATATGACATACATGGATTTTAGTACGATAGGAAAGTAGACTAGAGGGGGGAAAAGTATGGAAGTCTATCAATGCTTTTTTAGACACTAATAAAGCGTGTCCAATTAAAAATATGGGTTTTAAAAACCCAAAAGTAATATACTTTCACCTTTAATGCTCATACTATTACACTAAACAAAAAAAAAAAAGTAAACTTATGGCTAAAGCCTATTATACTATTGCCGAATATCTTGACGACGCCAATGTATGGGGTTAATACTGTTGATACTCACGTAGGCTAAAACAAGACTATTACACCTGTACTATTATATTGTAAACTGACCTTTTAAAAAAGAGCAACTGTTGAGTTGCTTGCCGGTTTCTTCTCAACAGAAACTGCTTTCCGAACCGGTGGTAAATTACGAACGTGTTAATTTCTTTGTAAAATTTTAACGTTTCATAAGAACGCGCAAGCGTCTATGTGAATAAAGATTTTATTATTTTATTATTATTATTACTAACAATTCTCAATATCAGCAGCCACCTCCAATATAAACAGAATCGTATACGCTCAACGTTTATGACTATTTACGTTATATCGCCTTTTCAATAAACCGTCCATTAATCTTTCTCGAACTTACGTATGACGGTGCTGGAGCTTTTAATATTTGCCGTAGAAAATTGAATGTGGACTTATCATTTTACCGACAATATATATCAAATTTAAGATTCATTGCTTACTGTTGAACGTATAAACTTATACATAACGATGTGGATAAAAGACATCATTACCATATTGTACCTTTTTTCGTTTACTACGGAAAAGTTTGCTTACATTTTACCAAGAAGAGTTACCAGACGCGATGCATGCGAGCCCCGATTATTCTACACTGAAAAGTGTAGAACAAATGCTGGGCAGCGAGCACCGCTTCGTAGAGTGCTAGATGTTTATTATTCTAAATTTATAAATTTAAAATAATGATTACGCTAATACTTAAAAAGTAATACGCAAATTAGGCTAGCTACCGAATTACTCTTTTTACTTTATTTCACTTTTTATTATTTTGCGGTAGTTATAATTGTTAATGTATAACTATTTTATGTCCCAATAAATTTAAAAAAATGTCTACGCATTGCAGGGGCAAAGACTCACTCAAACTTGATACCCTGGTCGTATATTGACAGGGCCACAGGAACGCTTCCGCACCCTTTCGCGAAGTTGCCAAAGCTGACCGCCTAAGCAGCCCTTCTTCAGAGAACAATTCACCTCTCCTTCGGTAAGGGCACGTTGATATATTCAGCGTTCCCTAACCGGGATTAATATGTGTAGGGTGTGGTAGGGTAGCTTAACTGTAGTAGGGCCACGCAACAGTGTCCACTGTTGCACGAATGGGCAGGTCCGTCCGGATAAGTACCACGACCACACTGAAGACCGGCGTAAAGTAGAATTGTTATACTTCTGCGTTTCGTCTGGTGAGTGAGGTAACCGGGGCCCTCATAATTAAGAGGTGGCAATGCATCTGCAACTCTACGGGTGTTGCAAATATCCATGGGCTATCACTTAACATCAGGTGAACCGCCAGCTCGTTTGCCACTTTCTCACATAAAACAAATAATATTAAGCGTTATTCCAATTCGCCTCCTGTTGAAGGGGCAAAGAGCTCCTCCGGATCCGATGACCAGAAGCTATGCAGCAAGGCAGTGCTAATAAGCAGCAAGCCTGCTTAACTGTGGTAAGGCCACGCAACGGCTTCGGCTGTTGCACAAATAGGCAGGTCCGTCCTGGAAAGTATCACGACCTCACAGAAGACCGGCGTGAAGTGGATGCGGTAGCAGCGGCGGACCTGGTCCGCGGTTTCAGCTGGAGAGGACAGAGAGACGGTCTTTTTGAGCGCGTACACTTTTAGAATCGCACTAACGATCATCTCTATTATTTCTTTAGAATGGAAATATTGTATCTTGCAAGTTTGTAGTAAATCCGGCAAGGTATTATTTCTATGTAATTCGCACCTGTTAACCTCGTCTTTAGTTACAGTAAATTAATAAAATATAAGTATACTTTTTGAATTAAATAATATGAATATAGTTAATTTATTCATGATGACAAAGCGGGCTCGAACGTTATAAATATGATAATTTAAAATAACACTACTTTTTCCTCTTCTAATGTACTAGGCTTTTGCAATAAACAAAGTTTTTTCTCAACTACTTTGTCATCTACATGGTTTAACTGATTGTCCTGAAAGCTCACTCGAACTATACATGTGTGATCTGCATTTGCTTTATTTATGTAGATTTAAATACCCCTCGATCACTTAGTAATAATAATATTGTTAGTCCTGTATGAGTTTGAAAATCCGATTGCAATCAAGATTTTATTCCTTGTTTTATTTTTAAATGTTTATGCTTTCAAACTGTGCAAAGCTTCACCGGGTGTTTTTCACGAGCACACAGTGCACTCTGAGTAAGAAAGAAGAAACAAAGAAAGAGATTTATTTGACATAAAACAGAGTTAAGAGAGTAATTACAATGAATTGGTTCCAAACACTGAATTTCATGATTTGCATAAGTTAGCTTTTTTTGCAAGCTTCTGACCAATTGTGTGTATTTCGTAACTGGGATCTTTGCTTGATAATGCATGATTATTATTTTTAGGTAGTTGTCATAAATAGTTAACTTAGATTTTTCTATTTGTTCTTAATACGTAATATTCTCCTAATTTTTACTAATACGTATATATAACATATCTAACGTTCGCCAATTACAAAATTAATTCTCCAATTGTGACCATTTTGTGATCAATTTAATAATTTTAAATCTGATCACATTAATTTGAGCCGCCAATTTTTTTCCGATGACCTTGGAATTTTAAACTATTTAATATACATTATAGTGTAATTTACATTGTCAAACATATTATAGTGTTATAGTGTATATATAAAAAAATTATAGTGTCAAAGTATTGGACCAATTGCTAAAAATTACTGACCATTTTTGACGCATTTTGTGACCAATTCGTAACCACTTTTTTAGAGTTCAAATTGCATTTGGGTATTTTTTCTCTCGTGTTAATAACAGTTTTCGAATATTAGCTGGCAATAAACAGGCTAAAATGATGATGATGTCATGATTCTTCCATAAACCATAATAGAGGCGAATAGCTGGAAACGGTTGCTGTTTATACAGGCGGCCCGCAATAGCCAAAGTTGACAAATTAATTTTCCATACATAATGCGGTTGCGCGAACTGTCACCAAAAGCTTATAGCTTGTTTACAAATTCTTCGTGCATAACTCATAGGTATTTAGTAAAGTATTTTCAGTCGATATTCTGCCCCACAGAATATGCGTACTTACTGTTTTTTCATAACATTTCCTATTAATTGTCCATAATAATTATAATGTTACCGCAATTATAAAATAATATAAATATATGCAATAAATCCATTCTTACTATTAAGAAGTTTATTAATTAACAGTAAAAATATTTACAATATTAAATCTGACTAAATTACGTATTATCTAATTGTTCTTACTTATAATATTGATAGAAATTTTAGTATTTTAATTTCTAACAATATTATTCAACATTCGGCAACCTAAGTTGTTCCTTTCTGTAAGTATTTCCTTCTGTGCAGTTAAATAACGCATGTCAGTCTCATATTTTCCGACAGATCTCCGCTTCGAGGCATCTTTGAACAGACAGTGTATACTTGTTACGACATGGATAAAATCTGAAACACCGCACTCTAGTATTCAAGGCATAGTGAGCATTAGAATCGTATTTGTATGTAATCGTCTTATGAATCTAACGTCTTGTAGGATATTTTTGCTACAAAGAAAGGCTTAAGCTTTGACGCATGCTTAAATATTAGAACAAATTTTAGTGAAAAAACTTTACTAATATATTTGACGATCGGATTTGGTAAATAAAAATATAATCTTACATGGTAAAAGCAATAGCTTTACCGTTGTAATGATTACCAAGAATATGCTGTTAGTGAGCTATTTCTCAATAACAGCCTATTCTTGCCTTAGGTTTATAAATCGGCCAACGACGCCGGCAAATTATTCCACTCCTTTGCTGTACGCATTATGAAAGAGGAGGCGAATATTTTGTGTGGCAAAATCAGCAAAAAAAGGATGGATTCCTACAGAGCATGTATTTTTGGTATACTGCTGAATTTGTGCATTTTCAGCAGCAAACCAAACACGATCGGACACGAAGCTTAAATGGGGATAAAAGGTATCCCGCTGTGAAATATTGATGCAAAGATCGCTATTCACATCAGAATAGCTTCTATTAAGCACGGACTTCAATTTACTTTCAGCTGTTTTGACCCTAGATTAAATGAAACGGCCATAGTTGAGATTTGATAACATCTTAAAACCATAACTAGTATTTGAAGTATGTCGGATTGTTCTGCAGGCCATTATGGAATATAGGAGTCAAGACTAACGGGTTCCTTTTTGCGTTTGTTGTGCGAAAAGACCTAATATTCTTTTTTTTATGTGAAAATTTGACAAACGAGCAGGCGGTTCACCTGTTGTTCACCTGTGTTAAGTGAATACCGCTGCCCATGGACATCTGCTACACCCGAGGGGTACAGATGCGTTTTGAAAATTGGGCTCCCGCTACCTCACTCACCAGACGAAACGCGAAAGTATTTGTCATACTTCCACTTTACGCCGGTCTTCTGTGAGGTCGTGGTACTTACCTGGACGAGCCCGCCCGTGCACTATCCAAGGCTGCTGCGTGGACATACCACAGTTAAAATCAAGAAACTAATAAGACATGCCTAGGCTTTGGTGGCATTGAATCCTACAAGGTGGCATCTCTCGAATTTTAGACTGCCGTGATAGCTCAGTGTCCAGGCGCTCGCCCTTAATTAAATACAATCGAGCAACCTGAGTTCGATCCTGGTGCCGGCACCAATTAAGTTGTTTATTTTAAGTGCTGACTTATCACGTGCTCAGCGGTGAAGGAAAACATCTCGAGGAAGTCTGCATAATTTCGAAATAATAATAAAAAAATAGCATTTCAGCATATGTGAAGCTCACCAATGGGTTTGCGTGGTGGACTATGGCTTAATAGGTTCTAAACAGAACCTTTCCTTTTTTCCAGAAAAGGGATAAGATATAATTACATACATACAAACTTACCGGGCCACAACAATGACTGAATTTATTATTTATTAATCTATCTATGAGTAAAGTTTATTCAAGTACATAACACATTAGTTATGTACAATATGATAAATTAACAATATATTAAGAATTAATTTTAAAAAGGAGATATGAATCGTTAATGTTTAATAACTTTAATAAAACTCGCATTTCGAGACATATTATCGCCTAGAAGATGGCCTCTGCCACCGTTATTTATGTAACCAAAAGGACCGCACAAATTCCTCCTGTTCCTCTGTTTTAAATCTAAAAATTCATTGCAGTGGATGTTCAGTGGTGCAATTTTATTAAAAATTAACGAGGTCTACACACGCGGCGTTCATAACTGCCTAGCTGGTGGTTAATAGGGTAAAAGAATGATACAAAGAGCAATATACTTTTTTTTTAATAATAATATTATTTTAACCCTCTATATGCATGATCTCATAAAAAGTGTACTCTTTGCTGATGATTTTGCACATGAACCACTGAATGAATGCTGTGATGGTCTCCAATACATCGAAGTCGCATTTGTAAAATAAAAAAAAATAAAAAAGAACCGACCTCATAAAAGTCTATTATCAGTAAAAAGTTTAAAAGAATACTAAATTTAATATAATCAAATATTGACAATCTAACCTATATCACCTAACCTAGCAAACCCCTAACGAGTGGTTTTTTGTTAAACTTTTTGTTGTATTTTTTTTTATTATTTGTCTCAGGAATTTGAATTTACTAAGCTTTTTGGACATGTTCAACAAGGCTGCATGAAAAGGTGATTACGAGAACCAAGCAGTTTCCCTTCCAAGTGGTTGCACCGTGTACTGAAGTCTTCTGCCTGTCCCGTTCGTCAAGATTGATAATATCCACTCACCAAGTCGATAATACTAAAGTAAACACCTGTGGGATACACAATAAATATTATTTTATTTATCAAATTTATATTTAATAACAATATTTATTTATTTACATACATAATATATATTACACATTTACACACACGACACATAACACATTTATATTACATTTTACAAATAATAATCTGTACGGAACTCCACACGTATAAACCAGTTCGCCGTTACAAAGTTGACTTGCAGTAAACGAATCAAATCTTTTGTTCGCACACCGGAGACGTACATAGTGGCGCGGTCAACTCGGGCGCTTTAGCCGGGCGACGGTTCTCCCCATAGATGATACACTTATATAGAGAGGTTCTCCCTAACACAGTCGAAATCTGTTTACGACGCGAAGCGCATATCGCTCGACGCTTACGCCCATCGTTACGAAGTGTACGCTTACGCACCGCTTAATCTTTCTGACCAGCATCTTCAGCTCTGTTATTCTTCCTCCTGAACCTTTCTATTCTAACAGTGAACAATTTATTTCTCTCTGACCTCACGACCTACACACTTTTGCCTAATGGGCCTCTTGGTAAAAAATATCTTTCATAATTTTGAATAATTTTGAAACCAACATTACTTTTGAGTTTGTTTGTTCTTTGTAAAAATTATTATTTTTGAGTTTTGGATGTGATCACAAATATTATACATCCACGAACCGTTATTTAATTAATGTTAATAACATTATTGAATGAATTCCAAAAAAAAAGACGCGAAACTGAACTTTCTTATCGCGAGTCCAATGAATAAGGAACTCCAACAAAAATCTATTCTCCGAGGGGGAGGAAACGAAAGAAATGTTCATCCAAGCAATCACAAATTATTACAGGTTTAATAGCATGATATTTTTGAGGAACGGCGT